AATTTTGCACGGTCTTTTATAATCAGTGTCTCTGCTCTTGTTTCCAACACTTTGCACGTGCATTGTGCTGAAAACTTTTTCTGAAAGCAATTTCCGTGCATCCTTTGCATTTTTGCTGATAAACGTTTACAAAATACTTTTTGAGATGTGTTTGCGCGCAATGCACAACAAACATGACATGATTAACGGGAATCAAACATAAGAATTGTCTTTATGACGATTACTGGGGAAAAAAAATCTGATTGGAATTCTCAAAACACCTATGCATTTCTTTTATGTTTCTGATGTTAACGGAGTGGTGTTCAAGTCTAAAGTGAATTCTGTCTACAAAAGAATCACAATCGTATTTATTTATTTTTTAAAACCCATCTATATATTTAAGAATTATGTTAAAAAGGCGACTATGCTTGTCGTAAGAGGCGACTAACGGGATTGGTTGGTCAGGCTCTCTGACTTGGTTGGTGCATGTCATCGTATCCCAATTGCATGGATCGATGCTCGTGATGTCAATCACTGGTTTGTCTGGTCAGGATTCGATTATTTACAGACCGCCTTCATATAGCTGGGATATTGCTGAGTACAGTGTTAAACAACAAACAAACAAAAACAAATCAAAGGAGATGCGACGGCTATGAAGAGCATGGTACTAACATAAGCATGGCTTTTGGGACGCATCCAGACAAACAAACAGTCTTAAAATATGTACACTTCACATTCTGGATTCTCTGAATGTGGCTTTGATAAATACAGCAGCATGCATGTGTCATAGACAGTAGTGTGGCCCGTCCTGGTTTGATATGTTTTACCTTGGAAATCCATGGTGTTGATGCGCCCTATTGTAATGCTTCTATGTGCCATCAATACAATACAAAAACTATACCCGGTAGACATGTTTGGTAAAACTGTCAAAACATGCGATTGATGAATCTAGATAATCTATACATATCTTGACATATTTAAATTTAATTTATATAACAGTTAAAAACATGTTACTGTCCATGGAAAACGTGACACCTTGTGTTAAGGATCTTATGATAAAACGTCAAGGCCAGTGAATAACCAGTCTCGATTATCTTCCGAAACAGATTCCCTTGGGTTTATTTTTTAATTTTTATTTGTAAGAAGAGCAAAATAGAAGCGAAAATTATTTGAATGGACCACTGAAAACTGTGATGACACCAGGTGTTCACATCACATATTCCCTAGCGTTGACGTGTCATAGATCAATACCAAGCTTACACACCATTAATAAACTGACGTTCTGCTGAAACTCACTCACTCTACACTGTTGAATTAGAACGTCAAAGCCTTTGGGGTTTGAATATATACACATAGTGAAATATATTTTTCGCGAAATAGGCGAGTATGTCCTGGCCGAATGGTAGCACCGGGCGTAGGCGGAGGTAGAGGATACGTCACACTCCCCCAAGAACAATTCTATGACCGTGAAGGTACAATCAATATTTTTGAGTTAGTGAGTATGGTTTTACGCCGCCTTTAATATTATTCCAGCAATATCACGGCGAGGGACACCAGAAATGGGCTTCATACACTGTACCCATTTCGGTAGTCGAACCCGGGTCTTCGGCGTGACGAGCGAACGCTTTAACCACTAAGCTACCCGATGCCCCTCAATATGTTTGAAAGGTAATTTGAGGACTATAAGGCGTTTTATTACCCTGAAAACCGTATACATCGCGCACAGAGACTTCATCACTTGCTTGATAACAGTGTTTGAACCTACACCAAAACGTCGCTCTTAATTGTAATAAAAGAGTTGTTCAACCATAAATCTTATCCTTACTTAATTATATCAGCTTCAACACATATTTCAGCAATGTGTCATCAGCAGGTCGAAGAGGTTTACCTAACAATGAACCAACGTGAACCTACCTCGGATTCGAACCCAGGATAAACGGATTCCCACACAGACGTAACACAATTATGGCTATGTACATAAATATATGTCTATGTATGTTTTCTATCTTGTTTGGGATGAAAGTGATTCCAGGTTAATCTAATAAGTTTATAAGTTTGATATTTTTACATATACAAGGAAAGGGCGATTTCCCGTGAAAATGCACACACACGTTTATTTGTAACACATTACATTCAGAGATTCTGAGGATAACGTTACTTGTGTATGATGTTACAAACGTATTCTTAAGAATGAGGCAAAATAAATCAACTAATTTTACAAAGTGATACAGTTTTCAAAAACACAAAACATGAAACTTACGCGAAGCGATTGTGGAATTGACATCCTAAACGCTTTCTAGACGACCTGTTTCATTTTCCGTGATATTCTGTCTGCAACAGCTGAGGAAGTGCTTGTAGCCAGGAATATCGATCAATAGTTGCTTCTCTTGGGTCACGCCATTTGTCTGTAATTCCTGTCATCCAATGGTTCTGTTGCAAAACATTTACTTTAATGTCAGGCATCACATGTAAGAAGACAGCAAAGTAAACATCTGGTATGTTATATCGAGCTTCGCACTGCGCTTTGCAATTTTAACCAAAGCCGAAAAAGGATAATTGAAACGGCAAACTCTGCATCCGCGAAACCCCAGTAGAAAGTTGTAATGATTTTTTTTTATCAGAATCAATCAACCTATTAAGCGTGATGCATTGGGCTAGACAGGTACTATTTACGCCCAGGGCCTTCATCAAGTTAACACAATATGTAGCTCTTGGTCATCAATCATCCGCCGTTGGCAAGCGCTGTGTGTAGAAAAAACTATTGCACTATACCTTTCGTATTTATTCTTTATATTTTCAGCCTGTGTTTGATGGGCTATCTACGACATAAACATTTTTCACGCTTTGATTTACAGTCATTTTTTATCCTAAAATGAACCCAGTTAATTCACTTGTATGACAATAGCACAACGTATTCATGTGTACTGGATGTGTAAGAATGGAACGGATGAAAATAATACTGAAGGTCTAATTACGATGAAAGTCCGTAAAATTAATTTCGGGCGTATAGATCAATATCTGGTGTGTCCACCATGTTGGGCGATAGATGCACGAACCTTGGTGGCATGCTGATGATAAACTTGCGTATGGTTTCCCTTGGTATTGCCCGCCATCCCGCCTGAAGCGCTACCCGAAGCTCGGCCACGTTGGCGGGTGCCTGGTCTCTCGAGTACACTCCCGGCCCGAGATTATAGATGCTCTATTGGGTGGGGGCGTGTCAGGGGACTTATGGGGCCAGTTGAATGTCCGTATGCCTTCTCGTCGGAGATAATCGCTGGCGACCTGAGCAGGATGTGGTCTGGCATTGGCATCTTGCAGTTCAAAATTTCTGCCGATAATTCTAGCGAATGGAACAAGATCAGGACACAAAATCTCGTCAATATATCGCTGGCCAATGACCTGAAAATACTCTATACGACGGTGGTTTGAAAATAATCAAGTCTGGACCAGTGACTGACATCATTTGCATGATTGGTTGGTTGGTTGGTGTGTTGTTTAACGCCGCACTCAGCAATATTACAGCTATATGACGGCGGTCTGTATAATAATCGAGTCTGGACCAGACAATCCAGTAATTGACATCATGAGCATCGATCCACGCAATTGGGATCGATGACATGTATCAACCAAGTCAGCGAGCCTGACCACCCGATCCCGTTAGTCGCCTTTTTATGACAAGCATAGTCACCTTTTACGGCAAGCATGGGTTGCTGAAGACCAATTCTACCCCGGAATCTTCACGGGTCTCATCAGCATGAATCCACATTATTGGGATACGGTGACACGAAATCAACTAAGTCATCGAGACTGACAACCAGACTTATATAGTCGTCCTTAAAGACAAGTATAAGTTGCTGAAGACCTATAAACCCGGGATCCTCGCTGATCGCGACATTTATACCTTTACCGTGAAATTCTTGGGGCAGTGCCATAAACTCATACACAATACAAGTCAAACACCTTCATAGGCAGAATATATGATCATGCATTTTATCACTGACTGCAGGGCTAAAGAATGTATACATTTGAAAATTGGATTTGACCCGACTCACAAACGTAACGTAACTAGATTGAAAACGGTCGCCGAAACACAGAACTGTGGTACCCATACAAAATACCAAATACAGTAAACTACGGTTATAACGAACACGCTTATAACGAACTGACGGATATAACGAACTACTTTTTTGGTCCCGATAATTAGCTGTATTATGCTGTATATATGCTTATAACGAACTACGGTTATAACGAACTAAAATTAGTAGTCCCTTTGAGTTCGTTATAACCGTACTTTACTGTACATCACATTTCTTGTTTGTTTCATCTTTGACCACCAACAAACATGGGTGTACACGTTGTTATTTGCTCAGTAGTTTATTTTGACTTTTACAATCACTTAACTCATAATATGCATCCTCTCTTTCCCACGTGGCTGGACAAACGAGTCTATAGGTAGTCCAATCAAAATCGCGTAACCATATCGACACCCGGTTCGTAAACTTCTTAAGTGCAGAATTTGCAGAGCATGTGCACCCTAAACTGGGTGTCGACAGACATTTACCAAATCTTTTCATGTTTGTTATCAAGGTGATCAACTAGTTTGATGCATTTTGCGAGGTAAGACCCGTTTTATTACAATAAATATCATGATTATCGATCAGATCGTTTTGACTGGGCGTAATAGTCACTGGTGGCGTTCCGATCGAGCCATGGAATTCCAGCATAGTTCGGCAAGGGTGGAAACGGGACTTTTGCAGTCAGTTAAACCCCTTGCCTCGGGAAGATAGTTGCCATGATGTAATAGGGTTGATGACATGTACTGAAGAGTGTAATGTTTTATCAAAAATAAAGTTGAATGGGAATTAAAGAATTCAGCTTTATTTATTCAGTTCGTCTAAAGAGATGCTTATCTCATCTCGTCGATGGACATGTTCACTCTAGGGTCACTCGATGAGACGAATGTACTTTACGTCTTCGAAACCCAGTATATTATGTATATTTACACGTGTTCTTGAGTTTTCTCATTGTCTAATTTTCATTTCAGTAAACGTGAGTGGGAGTTTTAGGCCCGCCCAGGCGATCCCCTGGCCATTGACAGTGATGTTGTATTGTCCATTCAAGTTGCTTTTGTGGCAGGCGTTGTACCACCAAGCACCTGTATGTTTGACAGCACAGTTGACAAGAAGGTGGCGGTCCTGATCCCTGTCCTTTGTGCTGAATTCTCTGCCAGCGTGGTACCTTAGGTTGTCGCCTGAAATCAGTTTTCAATTAATTGACATAAACTTACATAGTTCATTTGACAAAAGCTTTGTTTGTTCTTCAACTCAAAATATATATTGTATTGATCGAACTCTATGTGCATCCTCTGACGAGAAGGGATCTTTAATGGGCGAATCGGATTAATACCCATGACATATTTACACAGCGAGCTGACCACCTGTGAACTCGGAAAACAATATTCTATAAATGAAAATTAAATTTCATAGGGTTAAAATTGAAATCGATAATTAAGTGTTTATCAAACCTGCATTTCCACTGTAATTCCCAATGCTGAGCTTGAAGTATTCCGCTTCACTTGCCACCTTGAAGTGCCGATATATGGCATACCACTTCTCTCCAGCAGGGTCCTCAAGGTCGATCCTTAGCATAGTGTTTCCAGATTTCGTCAAACGATTTAAAACGTTGTTTCCTTTAAAAGAAACGTTGTCATTACACTCCTTCGATCAAAATAAATTCCTCCGAAAAGAATCAACAATGGTTACCTTTTGGCCATTACTTTTTCAATTTATTTCGGATAATGTTGAGTGATGAACCGAAGCCCCCGTTGAGCCGGACCCCTGGGATGGCAACAGACTCCAAGGCAGATTTTTGTAACATGAATGTATTTGTCATATGATGTCAAGTATATGTATATACACACCGGGCAATCCATCTGTACAATGACGTGTTTCAAACGGGAAAAATCACTCCAGAATAACCTTTTTTAGCCCCCCTCTCCCCGTACGGACGACGGACGCCACGGTATGGCATAATCTCACCTTGGTCCTTCAGACCAGATGAGCTAAAAAAAAAACTATAGTCACCAATCCAAAATTCGCCTTCTGTGTCCCCGAATCCTCGAGCATAGTCCGACCAGGTCCTATAGAAGTTCACAGTCCCACTCCTCCTCCTTTGAATAACCTGAAAGTTACCTTGACCTTCAATCTCAACCATGGAGTGATTTCGTAGGGCAACGTAAAGGGTTTTGTTGCTTTTAGCCATCAAGTAGCCAATTCCCTTCCACTGATTTACCTACCAACTAGAAATAAAGAAGGCCAGCGAGACCGCCTCACCTGTTTCATATTAAGATCTATGTAAAAAGAATCAAAGTGACTAAACACTCTCCACAAAACCGTATAACAAGAGGTGAGGTGAGGTGAAATTGGGTTTAACGTCGCATCCAAGATTATTGCACTTATAAAGCGACGTGCATGCACGTGTATGTGTGTGTGTGTGGCTGCTTGTACTAGTCCGGACTGATGCCGATTTATAGTGCTAGCACACTGAGATACCATGCCGCAGTTTAACATGAATACCCCACTCAGACACAGTATACTGACTCTGAGCCGACCAGTCCTTGTTTTAGCCCCTTAATGCCGAACGCCAGACAGGGTAACAACAAGTACCATCTTTTAACGTCTTTTGGTATGACGCGGCTGGGGATCGAACCCCGGACCTTCCGCTCTCCGGGCGGACGCTCTACCATTAGACCACGGAGGCGGTCCCGTATAACTAGAGGGATGACTTCAACAAGCCAATAGTCAACTTTCCCTTCATGTCGAGCAATATTCAGGCAGCTCCAGCCTTTGGTGTCTACAATTCATAACTTTTGAGGTAATGTCGAGAATGCTCTTTCTACCAAGATTTCAAAGTGCATCATACAACTCTTGCTGAGAAGTTGTTTGATCTGGGTAACAACATTCTAGACCTCAGTAAAGCTTTCAAAATGTTTCATAGTAGACATGTGGAGGACATTTGACGCATCGCTGACAAAAATAATGAAGTTCCCAATTTGGACTTGTACCATACGTTCCCGTGTTATTTTCAGGTGCCACCGGTGGGGTAGGATACGCTCACCATTTCATGAACACCTGGTATCATCACTAATTTATAGTGATTCATAAACACGTGTTCATGGTATTGTCGAAACCGTACACTCGACTCTGCTTTTGACAGAATATGGATATGGAAAGGGTCAGTGTCGCTTTTATGCATGTAGAGATCCCGTGTATGATTTGTTTGTTATTTAACGCCGCACTCAGCAATATTCCAGCTATATGACGGCGGTCAGTGAATAATCCAGTCTGGACCACACATTTCAGTGGTTGACATCATGAGCATCGATCCACGCAATTGGGATTCGATGACATGCATCAACCAAGTCAGCGAGCCTGACCACCCGATTCCGTTAGTCGCCTTTACGGCAAGCATAGTCGCCTTTTACGGCTAGCATAGTCGCCTTTTACGGCAAGCATAGTCACCTTTTACGGCAAGGATAGTCACGTTTTACGGCAAGGATATTTACGTTTTACGGCAAGCATAGTCACCATTTACGGCAGTTACTTAACAAGTGAAAATATGTTAAAGTCATCAGTTGGGGAAAGTCAACGTTTTCAAATCTTTCTTTGTTTACTTAGATCTATATTAAAAGTATTTTTGAAATAAGAACTATTGATTGTTACTACGATCTGGATTTGAGTGATGTCCCTGGTATTACAACCTCAGCGAAAGGTCTGCACCTCAGGGTGTCGACGGACAGTGAATATCATTTATCATTGCGCTGCTCATGTTCCTCACACTTACCCGACACATTCAAAAACACATGATTCATGTTCGAAAGGACGATATAAGAAATGAAATGGATTGGTTTGTGTTAATGCTTTCTTCTATCGAAGGATAGCAGTCACAAATTTATTATACAATCGTTTCGCTACGACAGGAGATTTTAAACAATACTGTGATCCTTCGATGAATGCACAAAAAACATGAAAATCCTTTTGCGAGGTGACGTGAAATGGGGTTGAACGTTGCGTTCGAGATTTTTGCAGTTATAGAGTTGTGTGCGTGCGTGCGCGCGCGTGTTAGTGTGTGTGTGTTAGTGTGTGTGTTAGTGTGTTAGTGTTAGTGTGTTAGTGTGTGTGTGTGTGTGTGTGTGTGTGTGTGTGTGTGTGTGTGTGTGTGTGTGTGTGTGTGTGTGTGCGTGCGCGTGCGTGGCTGCTTGTTCTAGTCCTGACTTATGCCGGTTTTATAGTGCAATCCCATACTCCAGTTTAACATCGACGCCCCACACACTTACAGTATATACTCCAAGCCGGCCAGGACATATTATCCCCTTAATGCCGAGTGCCAGAGCATTGACAATATGATCGTATATTCCCTTACCAGCCAGTTCCCATCCTCTGTTGTCGTGTCGCAGTAAGCTGGGAAGGGATGCAGGTCATCAGGATTTACCATGTACGCCCCGCCTTTATTCTTTGGAAGTCCAACGCAATCTTAAGAACACATATAATATCCACGTGAGAAAATACCACAACCAACATTTGCCTACGCGAAACTGGATAATAACTGTAACAAACTACTAATATTTAAGTCATGTAATTACAAAAATAGTTATTTGACATTGTTCGCACAGAAACCAATGGGATTAGAAATAAGTCGCAAAAGAAAGTATACCCTTGAATCTGACCCAACAATTCAAACGTTATCAAACGGTACTTGGCGGACCTGCTGTAACATACTCATTAAGATGATGTGTGTAATATCGCCTTTGATACCCGTATCAAATACATCACCATCCAATAACCATTTCCTGTCGGTTTCAGTTTTAGCCACCATTAAACATTGGAGGAGGGAGGACTGGTTGGTTGGCTGGTTTGTTGTTTTACGCCGCACTCAGCAATATGAAAGCTATATGACGGCGGTCTGTAAATAATCGAGTCTGGGCCAGACAATCCAGTGAATAATATCATGAGCATCGATCGACGCAGTTTGGATCGATGACATGCATCAACCAAGTCAGCGAGTCTGACCACCCGATCCCGTTGGTCGCCTCTTACGACAAGCATAGTCGCCTTTTACGGCAAGCATGGGTTGCTGAAGACGTATTCTACCCCGGAATCTTCACGAGAGTGAGTGAGTTGGGTTTAACTCCGCTTTGGACATCATTCAAGTTATATCACGGTGTGGGGGAATAAGAACCAACCATTGTAACTGGCACTGCTGAGGTTACCTTTTACTCTCTCCAAAGAACGTATCTTCATTTCGGTGACTTTGATAGGTTCCCCTCTCCAGTCTCTCCAAAATATCCCCCGGCCATTGCTTGCAGTGTAGAGTCCATTCAGGCAGCTTCCTCCGCAGGCATTATACCACCAACCCCCGAAATACTTCTTGGCACAATTGTCAAATAATTTGTCATCTCTATCATCATCTTCAGTAGAGAATTGTTCTCCATCGGCATCGCGGAATGAGTCCCCTGAATGATGAGTGAGTCAATAATTATCATTGCCAAATGTCTGCATCAATAATGTCGTAATAATTATACAGCTATATATGATTCAGAATATATATAGTCATCGTCTACATTGAGGGGTGTGTGGGGGGTGGGTGAGGGTGGGGTGGGGCTGGGTGTGTGTGTGTTTAACGCAGCACTAGGGCAGTATGTCAGCTAGTCAGCTATATGACGGCGGTTGTCTGACTCGTATAATATTAAGCAGATAATTTCTCCCGTATATTACAGCTTCAATTTAGACAACTGAAGCTGTTATATACGGGGGAAATTATCTGCTTAATATTATACGATTTGTGTTGAACTTTTACAAAATCCATTTTGAAAAAAATCAATGGTAATATTATAGTTACTACAGATCACCCCACATTTCACCCCAAGACCAGAGTATTGAGGGCCTTTTTCTTGGAAGTTATGGTTAAGGCGTACGGACGTGATGACCCCACATTCGAAGCCCCAAAATGACATAATGTATGCTGTCCACTTATCTGTCTCCTGGCGCAGTGTTGTTACAATATTGCTAAAACACATGATAAATCGTACAAACTAAAAGTGATACAAATCATCATAATATAAAACATCAAAGCCAGAGAAAAATCATAAGCTCTATAATCATGCCATATCATAAGCATGAATCACTATAAAGTCGTTGTATCCTGCCGTACGGGTGGCCCCGTCATAGATACATGTTTGGGCCGCTTTTCAACTTTCCAGTAGTCAACTTTAATTTCTGCTCCAGCAGCTCCATCCTTCGGTGACTACATTTCACAAGTCTGAGATACAGTAAACTACGGTTAAAACGAACTCAAAGGGAATAATAATTTTAGTTCGTTATAACCGTAGTTCGTTATAAGCATATACACAGCATATATACAGCAATGGCCGGGACCAAAAGGTATATTCGTTATATCCGTCAGTTCGTTAAAAGCGTGTTCGTTATAGCCGTAGTTTACTGTACAATGGGGCATGCTCTTTCTACGTTGATTTTAAAAAGTTTGATCAGGGTTACAATGAAGCTTTCAGAAACATGGGGAAGACATTTCGAAATTTGACGCATGAGTGACCCAAATGATGTCTGATGCAATTCCCCTGTTATTCCGGTGAACAATTGACTAACCTTTGCGTGTGTTTGTGACGGATGCCATCGGTGGTGCAGGATACGCCCACCTTTTCGCGAACACCCTTTATCCTCACTATTCGATAGTGATTCATAAACACATGCTGATGATATAGTCGGAACCGTACAATGGGCAGGTATATTTACCTGCAGTCCCGAAATATGTCCCAATCTTTATACGATATCCGTCCGTGCCGTTGGCAACAGTGAAGGGCGTATAAACTGCGTGCCCCCTTGTTCCATGGGAGTCTTCCAAGTCAAATCTCAGTTGCGACAATTTCCCTTCAGTAAGACGATGAATCTTTTCATGTCCTGGTTATAAAGTTTAGATGTACATGTAAACAAGAGTCATCAGAAAGATGAGATATCCCCCGGCAACTGTCTGTAAAGTAACCACAAGTAAATGTGCAATTCTGTATGTAATGGGTCAAGAGTTTAATATTCTTGACGAAGCATACATTGTTTACACACAAAAGATCCACCATTGTCGCATCTATATGAAATGGAAAGTAAAACAAGTGTGTTTCTGTGGGGTTTTTTATGCAAACAAATGACAAATTACAAGAAACAATAACTTAACAAGCGTATAGTCAACGAAGTCATCTATATCCCCCGCCCATTTTAACACGTTATGGTCCCAAACCAGGTAATTGACCCAACATTTCTCTTAGCCCCTGTTAAAAAAGCTGCAATGGAAATTCTAAAATAAACATTTCTAAAACTCCTTAATATCAAATGGCACCAGTTCAGTATGTGCTTTATATATAGACATGCAGTATTTGACAAGGAAATATTTAACAGTTTATTTGTTATACTCAATGAGGGAACCCACCCTATATTAAAACTTAAGTCCAACTTGTTGCCATGGAAACGTAAAACATAAAGATTTATAAAATTCCTAAATTACGGTGGCCCATAAGGGACACGATTTGTCATACAAAAATGTGATAAATCATGTGTAAAAACAACCGAAAACATGGAAAGTGTACTTTCAAGTAGCTATTGAGTCGCTGAAATGTGAAGGGAAAATGTTAAAAACTAAAATGGAAATGTCAAAAACAAAAGCGAAAATGTCAAAAACTAAAATGAAAATACAGAAAACTATTTCCACCGCGGTGATAATATTCCCTCCGCGGTGATAATATTTCCACCGCAGTAATAATATTTCCACAATAATAGTTTTCTGTATTTTCATTTTAATTTTTGACATTTTCGCTTCACTTTTCTGCTATTCAATATCTTCTTTATGCATGATTTATCACATATTTGTATGACAAATCGTGTTAATTTGCAAAAGGTTACGATAACAGTAAGTGAAATATCAAAATATTGAAAAACAGACTCCATGTCCCTTATGGGCAACCGTACTAATTAGCAAAAGGCACCAGTTCAGTATGTGCCTGGTAGACATGCAAAGTTTTGTAAGAAAGTATTTAACAGTTTTTGAGTTACGCTCCGGAAACTTATAGAACCTAAGTCCAACTTGTTGCCATGTAAACGTAAAAAATAAAAACTTCTATAATTCCTAAATAGCGAAAGGCACCAGTTCAGCATGAGTCTGATAGACATGCAAAGTTTAGTTAGAAAGTTTTGAATGGGTTTTGAGTTATGCTCCGGAAACGAACTCTACTCTATAGACCAAAGTCCAACTTGTTGCCATGGAAACGTAAAAAAAAAAAAAAAATTCCTAAAGAGCAAAAGGCACCAGTTGAGTATGTGCCTGATAGACATGCAAAGTTTTGTAAGAAAGTATTTAACGGTTTTTGAGTTACGTTCCGGAAACGAACACCACACTTATAGAACCTAAGTCCAACTTGTTGCCATGGAAACGTAAAAAATAGAAACTTCTGAAATTCCTAAATAGCAAAAGGCACAACTTCAGTATGTGACTGATAGATTTGCCAAGTTTCGATCAAGTACACTGAATTGTTTTCGAGTTCTGCCCCGGAAAAGGAAATGATTACGGACAGACGGGCGGACGGACAGACAGACTGCCTGATCGTCTCCCCCCCCCCCCCCCCCTCCCCCCTCCTCCCGCATTATATGCCCGAGGGTGGGGGGGGGGACGGTATCGGGTAGGAACGGTATCGGGTTTTAGAACATACACTCTTCACAAAAAGAAACGCACAGGTAGTATGTACTTCATTGAACCTGACTACACAAAAATCCGGTATATAAATTGGATATACACTATTGGAAAATGTTGGTGGCCTGATATTCGACAAACGGCGCGTCCAAACGCAGCCATGGTTGATTTGGAACGTCTCAAACGGCATTGTTTTCACACTTGTTCAAAAAGGTCATGGAGGAAAACAGTAGAGCAAAATGCACGTGCAAGTTATATCATTCGTAACTCGCGGTAGTGGCTTTAAAAAGGCATAGGATGTATCCAAAGAGGGGAATCGCAGTCTTCTGTTGCACGCCACTTCAACGTCCACCACAGCACTATTTGCCGCCATTTGGACCGATACACACCTTTCAGTTCAACTGCAGACCGTCCGAGAACCGGCCAACCAAGAGTTACCACCCCTGCACAGGATCGCTGCATTCGGCTGTTCCACCTACGTCATCGCAATGCCACAGCTACGGAGACTGTCAGGAACCAGCTGGAATCTGACCCAGAAGACCGGTTATCGTCCCTGTTTTGCAACAGATCCATCGACTACGACGCTTGTGTTGGTGCCATACCTTACAGCCTTGGAATTTGAGAAACTGGAGACGAGTGTGGTTTAGCTATGAATCACGATTTCGTCTTCACCGGCGAGATGGAAGACAACGTGTTTATCGTCGTCGAAATGAGCGTTTTGCCCCACATTGTGTACGTGAATGCGACAATTTCGATGGCCATAGTGTCATCGTGTGGGGGGCCATATCTCCATCTTCAGACTATAAAAGTCCAGTTTCCACCCTTGCCGAACTTGGCTGGTATTATGGAGTTACATTTTGGCTGGACTAACGAGTCTATGCATAGTCCAATCAAAATCGCGCACTGAAATCGAAATCCAGTTCGTAAAGTGTCATGCAGATTTTGATCGACTGCAGGATTTGCAAAGCATGTGCACCGCTAACTCGTTGTCAACAGATATTTTCCAAATCTTTTCATGTTTTTCATCAAGGTGCTCACGCGATGTAAGACCCGTTTTATCACAATATAGATATTGATTATCGATCAGATTGTCTTGACTATGAGTCGCCATTTAGTTTGAAGCAAATGCAAGTGATACGAGAGGTGGAATCTGATTGGTTCATAGGAGAGGCAGAGAAGGGACATAACTCATATTAGCCACTTGTGGCGCTACGATCGAGCCAAGGAATTCAAGCCTAGGTCGGCAAGGGTGGAAAGTGGACTTTTAAAGTCAGTTAACTCTCTTGCCTCGGGAAGATGGGCCATATCCTACACCACGATATTGTAGTTCACGGAAATTTGACATCAAATCGCTATATGAATCAAATCCTTCAACCTCACCTTCTTCCAATTATTGACCGCCAGGGGGAGCAGGAAACGCTCCACCGCACACAGCGCGTGTCACGGTAGACTAATGCCTTCATAATGCCAACATCAACGATTTGCTCTGGCCGTCGAGATTTAAAGATCTCAAACTAATCGAACACAACTAGGATGAACTCGATCGACGTTTACGTCAACATCAGAACACGTCGCAGACACTCCCACAACTAGCCAACGAGTAACAAGCAGAATGGCGCAGAATTCCGCAGGACAGAATTCGTACACTTCTCCAGTCAGTGCCGAGGAGATGCAGAGCCGTGATTGCGCATACCTTGTGGCCTTATCTGACATGACAATGGACAGTTTTCAATGCCTTTGTACAACAACAAAATTTTATATATCGACGTATTAGGTACAATAAATTTACTAAAAATCTACCTGTGCGTTTCAATTTTTTAAGAGTGTATAAAGGGTGAAAGTGGTGCATCTAGGAGATATGTAACCCATTTAAAATGAGCCTCCACCCTTGAACTATTGAACTATTAAGAACCTCAGCAGTTTTCTCGACAAAAAGTGGCTTTATTATCAAATATACCGTTGTATACCACCCCCTACCCCCCACTCTGATTGAAGGTCATGTTGGTATTTATTAAGTCTACACACCTAACCAAAACTCTGTCTTCAGATCTCCAAATCCATCCGTGTACTCAGCACTTGTTCTGTTGAACCGTACAGACCCATCGCGTCTCTTCTGTATCACCTGAACACATCAATTGTGGATTATGCATGTATGAATATAACTTCTTTTTTCTTTTTTTAAAACTCCTACATCCCTTCTAATTATTTCAAGGGAATGTGCCCAGGAAACATTTATGTTTTTATACAACCAAACATGAGTTGACATTGTTGTGTTACTTACAGTCCATGCGAGACCCGATGTTGTCATGTCACAGTATACGCTGAAGGGGATGGTGGTGTCTGGGTTAATACTGTACACGCCATTTAAGGCATCAGGGTGTTGCTTTTTCACGTCAGAACAATCTGAAATTGCAGGAATACGTACTTAGACTTACTTATGAACTGTATTCATATAAACAATAATAATAAACAATAAATAAATTGAGACGGATTCCGTGTTATTCCATTTGCAAACAGAGAAAATCCTTTTGCGTTTATGTTTCATGTCAATGATTAAAACAGCTTTCTTTGAAGTAATTATATTTCCGTACATTTTTTTATAAGAATGGACTTCAATATGATTTGCATAAATCCACTCATTGTGCACACCTGTTTTTTTGCGTTTATGCCTTCTTGAGACCCGTGAAGATCCGGCGTAGAATAGGTCTTCAGCAACCCAAGCTTGCCGTAAAGGCGACAATGCTTGTCGTAAGAGGTGACTAACGGGATCGGGTGATCAGGCTCGCTGACTTGTTTATGCATGTCACCGTGTCCCAATTGCGTGAATCGATGCTCATGATGTAAATGACTGGATTGTCTGGTCCAGACTTGATTATATTAGCTCACCGAGTGAGCTTATGCCATTCAGTGGCGTCCGTCGTCCGTATGTAAACAATGTTTTCAAACGACTTCTTTTGAACCACTAATTGGAAATTTGATTGGAAGCATCCCTAAGTGGTGGGGATTAAAATTGTACAAATGGTAGCGCTGATTAACCCAGGGGACTGAGGGGCGGTGCCAAATAGAGATAATTTGGCTATATTGCTTTAAACGACTTAGTCTCTGGAACTAGTTTGTTGGTTGGTTTGTTGTTTAACGCCGCACTCAGCAATATTCCTCTGGAACTAAGATATATATATATATATATATATATATATATATATATATATATATATATATATATACCGTATTGGGTTGGAAGCATTCTCCGGTGGTGAGGATTCAAAATTGTACAAATGGTGGGGCTGACCCCCTAACGTGCTGAGGGGCGGGGCCAAATAGGGCTAATTTGGTTATATTGCTCTAAACGACTTCGTCTTTGGAATTAAGAGATAGATATCAACCATATTTGGTTGGAAGCATTCTCCGGTGGTGAGGATTCAAAATGCATAACTATATATTACTTTACATTGTTTGATAGCGACGTTTTGGTAAAGATCCTTATACCGATGTCAAGCAAGATTGCTTGACAAGGGTGTAAGGATCTATACCGAAACGTCGCTTTTTACAGTATTAAAGAAGTTGTTATCCATAAAACTGTGTCCAGCTTATGTTGCTTTAAACGACTTCGTCTCCGGAACTAAGAGATAGATATCAACCATATTTGGTTGGAAGCATTCTCCGGTGGTGAGGATTCAAAATTGTACAAATGGCGGGGCTGACCCCCAAGGGGGCGGCGAAATAGGGGTAATTTAGCTATACTGCTTTAATCGACTTCGTCTCTGGAACTATGAGGTAGATATCAACCATATTTGGTTGGAGGCATTCTCTGGTCGTGAGAATTATTTTATAATTGTACAAATGGAAGGGCTGATCACCCCCAAGGGGCTGAGGGGCGGGGCGAAATAGGGATAATTTGGCTATATTGCTTTTAAAAAATACGAAATATTTGCAGTTTTATATTTTGTCATGATTGTGTAAATATCCAGGTGAGCGATACAGGCCCTATGGGCCTCTTGTTTACAGATCGCCGTCATATAGCTGGGATATTGCTGAGTGTGGCGTTAAACAACAAACAAACAAGGGAAATGCTAAAATAGTACTAAGCATTTTGGTTCAATATTTCAAATACATAAATTACTAAATTGATACAAACAAATTCTGTTACTAGTAGCTCACCCGGATATGTACATTTATTCACCCGTTTCAAAAGTCAACAAAGACAGTCACGTAACAAAAGTTTCTGTCAGCATTGGCATCCATTAATGAATAAATACTAAAGACTATGTGCTGGAGCTACAATGGTAAATAAGATATAAAGTCATCATAAGGAGAGACATGCATGAGTTTGGCCAAGTAGTAAACATCTACGACATGCACACGTCGGGCTTTCTTCTCGTAAGAGTGAGTGAGTGAGTTGGGTTTAACGCCGCTTTTAACAGTATTCCAGTCATATCACGGCGTGTCAGCTTAATGTGGGAGGAAAGCCCGAAGTGATGCAGGTCTCAGACGTTTACCACTTCGGTGAAACCCACGAGCACGGGTATGGTGCTGACAAACCTAGAAACATAATTGGGGGGAACCGGGATTCGAACCCACAATCATAGGTTTCTGGCGTGCCCAAGGGCCGCAACTCTGCACAGCGAATCGCGGCGCCTTAGACGACTGGGCCACCCGTGCCCCCTCTTCTCGTAAGAAGTGACTCGCCATGATGTGTCACTAAAATGTTAAAAGCGGCGTGAAAATCAACTCACTCACCATCTCCGTTTGGGTTGACAACCCGTTCCCGTTAGTCGCCTCTAACGACAAGCACTGTCGCCTTTTACGGCAAACATGGGTTGCTGAAGATATTGAAATGTATGACTCATCCTTAAACGGTCAATATAAAGAATCTTACCCCTAAGAATACCATATTTCCCTGGAACATAGGCATCAAGATGGGGGTTTGGGGTTGTTATTGTTCCACCGAATGTTTCGTTCGGTGCTTGATGTGATTCTGATGAACGTCTTCCGGAATCTCCTTTTGCCAAAGTTGAATCCTCCTTTACAACGCTGTGTATTTCTTGCAGCAGAACATGCCTGTGGTAGACATTGGTAGTACTCTGAATGTAGGATTCCACAGAAACGGTCTTCCTCTGTGTCCAATGGTGCTTACCATTTTCTAAAACACAGAACCATTTCCTTGGCGATTTATGTGTTTTGGTAACTTGTTTGCACCATGGGTTCATGGAACAATGGAAGAAGCATCTCAAGCTACTCCTCGTGGTGATAGTCTGATTGATGCCATGTACAGATGTGAGTTGCAGCAGGGAGACTGCAAGGGTCAGAAGGATCATCCTTCCATCTGTAGGACTCACAGTGGACTGGTTAACGATAACCCACACATATGTTGAATGTGAAGATCTTTATAAATGTTTTAGCTCACCTGCATCGAGTTTGACCGCCTGTTCACGTATCTCCTGTAATTGCGAATTTGTCTGTTTGTATTGGCTGAAGTGATGACGTAGATCCTGCTGGGCATCATGCAGGAAGCAGAGGTACTGTAAGTCCCCATGATTCCCAGCGAGGTGGACCAGCTTTGGTTACTGGTGGCCTATAGCCCGTGTTTTGAAACTGTATACATCATATTGTTATGCTCAAATATGTTTCATCAACTGTTTTTAAATATAACTTTGCATAAATGACTGAATTGTTAATATATTAACTTGGTCTCGTCACTATATGGCTGAAATAATGCCGATGCGACGTAAAATTTTAACTCACTCACACACTGTTTGCATTCACACAGAAGACTAGGTGAGTATAGATTGACGCCGCTTTTAGCAATATCACAGCAATATCACAGCGGGGGACACCAGAAATGCTTCACACATTGTACCTATGTCGGGAATGGAACCCGGGTCTTCGGCGTGACAAGCGAACGTTTCAACCACCAGGATATCCGGCCGCCCCTTCACGCAGTAGAAAATGCGTCACTGCATTAGACATTTAGACGTGGATCCTTGCTCATGATATCAATCACTGGATTATCTGATTTAGACTTTATTATATACAGGCCGCCCTCATATAGCGGGAATATTGCTAAGTGCGTCGCTAAACAACAAACAAAGATTTATGAGGGAGGAAATACCACACTTACTTCCATGCTCGCTGGCTCACTCACTCACTCACTCACTCACTCACTGTTATGAAAAAACGGAACAATCAGGAGAGCTACGTGTGTGCCGTGAAGAGAGAGAGAGAGTGGGGGGTTCATTCAATAAAGATAATTTATTTATTTCTGTCAGCTTACTATTTATGAATCAATGTCATCTAACACGACATGCAGACCAAAGCACCAGAAGAAATTTGGGTCTAACTGTCGAAACATACGTGTTCTTCCTACGTAAACATAAAAAATATATATAAATAATAAATGTTATAGCTGGAGAAGAAAGTAGATACTTCTTAGGTACTCTCACGTGACAATTTGTTTCATACCAACTGATCTTATCATGGTAGAACTATTTACTTAAACATAGTTAACGAATATCTGTGGTTTAAGCGTCATTTAGAATTCAAAAATTATTGAAAAGATCCAATGAAGACTGTAGAAAGTAATCTGAATTAAATATTTATAACCTTTTGGTGTTCAGGGCCGAAATAACTGTGCTCAAGTCAATTACGTACTATTTATATCTATTTTAAGAAAGAGATAAAATTACCATAAAAGCGACTGCACGTTATCAGGCAAAGTGTGAGTATTATGCGACAAGTACAATTTCCATCATTATAAGAAATATTTGCTAAAATCAGAGTCTTTTGTACAATTCCGACTATAGGAGAAGGATTTGTTTAGGAATCACTATGGAAGAAGAAAACCACAGCAATTAAGATGATAAAACCCGTGACTGATTACAAGTGGATGAGCCGTCATATAGCTTGAATACTGATGAGTGCGGCGTTAAACAACAAAGAAACAACAAACAAATACATGTGGATGATGAATCGAACACAAAGTAGACGGAAAAGTACAACATTTCCTACCCTTGCGCCTTTGCAGGTGCAAACTTCGAAAATTGACGTTCGAATAGCTCACAAATTGACCTCCGTCAGACGTTGGTTGGTTGGTTTGTTGTTTAACGCCGCACTCAGCAATTTTCCAGCTAAATGACGGCGGTCTGTAAATAATCGAGTCTGGACGAGACAATCCAGTGATTGATATCATGATCATCGATCCACGCAATTGGGATCGATGACATGCATCAAACCAAGTCAGCGAGCCTGACCACCCGATCCCGTTAGTCGCCTTTTACGACAAGCATAGTCACCTTTTACGGCAAGCATGGGTTCCTGAAGACCTATTCTGGCGGAAACGAAGGCCAAACTTGAATGATGCGGGCCCAAAAGTCGTTGTGTCGCAGATCATCCATTTTTGCTATAATAAAAGTAAAGGTTTGTGTTGAACGCCTCACTCAGCAATATTCCAGATGTATGACGGCGCTCTAAATAATCAAGTCTGGACCAGACCATCCAATGATTGACATCATGAGTATCGATCCACGCAATTAGGATACGATGACATGCTTCAACCAAGTCAGCGAGCCTGACCAGCCGATCCGGTTAGTTGCCTCCTACGACAAGCATAGTCGCCTTTTACGGCAAGCATGGGTTGCTAAAGACCAATTCTACCCCGGATCTTCACGGATCAGCAACCATACTCGTGTCCGTGGGTTTCACAAAAAGTGGTAAACGTCTGAAACCTGCAATATTTCGGGCTTTCCTCCCAAATCAGGATGACACGTAGGTGAAATACTGGTCAGCAGTAATAAACCAAAGTCACTTACTCACTCAACCCGTAAAGATCCGGGGTAGAATAGGTCTTAAGCAACATATGCTTGCCGTAAAAGGCGACTATGCTTGTCGTAACAGGCGACTAACGGGATCTGATGGTCAGGCTCGCTGATTTGGTTGGTGCATGTCATCGATCCCAATTGCGTGGGGGGAGGGTCGGGTAGCCTAGGATCGCCTAGTGGTTAAGGAGTCCGCTCGTCACGCCGAAGACCCAGGTTCAATTCCCGACATGGGTACATGTGTGAAGCCCATTTCTGGTGTTTCCCGCCGTGATGTTGCTGGAATATTGCTAAAAGCGGCGTAAAACCATACTCACTCACTCTATTACGTGGATCGATGCCCACGATACCAATCTGGCTGGTCCAGACTCGATTATTTACAGACCGCCGTCATACAGCTGGAATATTGCTGAGTGCGGCGTTAAACCACAAACCGAGAACACTTACTCAATCTGATGATGTAAAGGGGAAAACTTGGTTGGTGCCATCCAATGGATATTTAATCAAACGCGCAACGTCATTGTCTCCATGTCCGAACCCAGTGAACCGATTTTGGATGGTTTCGCTTTCTCACACCCATGCCCGTGACCCAACAAACTGTGTGTCATCGTCCGCTGAAGCCTAGTGGTTGAACAAGTGATCTCCAAGCAGTCTGACTCGGAAATGACACCGGGGCCGTCAATCGGGTATTTTGGACTGCGTGGAAAGGCAACAACCACTCAATAATAGTGTCGGAAAGGCCAAAGCCTTGAGAAGATCAGAAGAAAATTAATACATTGTCATGTTTCTTTCCTTCATCAATATTATACTTCCCTGCGATCGATGTAAAGTCGATGATGAATACTTCAAACAAAGGGCAATGATAGAATCATGTAAACTGGTCTGAATACAAATAGACATGATTTAGCAACTGCTGTGTGTAGAAGCATTCTTGAAGAATGTTTGAAAAATGGCAAGTCGACCCATGGCAAGGATTACTTCAAGTTACTTCAGATTCTTTTTGATAATTCCAGACTAGCGCGTACCAAAGGCATGGACACAATGAAGACATATCTAATGACTCACAATTCAAATGAAAACTTTGGCATGGCACAGTTGAATAGTAGAATAGAATTGTTTACATTGGCCGATCAATCCAATTTACTAAAATGTTTTTCTGCAATTCTGCAAGTGGAAATATAACAGATGTCATCGTACAAGATGTTAAACCTGAACACGATGTCAAAAGAAATAATATAGCATTGTACATTGTACGAGTAATTTAATATGCATTTTGATAAAATAAACAATCGCTGAATGGCATTATAGTCAACTCGTTGTAACCAAGACACGCTTAAAGAGTCAAATTAAAAACTTCACATTTTTAAAAGTAATCCCATATATGATATACAACGGACAAATGTATCAGAGAAGGTAATTTTTTATCATTAATATCCAAAGAAGGATTTTAATTAACGGTGGTAACCATAATTTGTTCCAAGCACCTACGGTATTCGGTAATAACATCAACAGTTTAAATCATAAGTCCCAAGCACGAGAATCTGATGGCACACCAGTTCATTAGCGTGTATGGCCACCATGTGCGTTGACAACTGCCATACAACGCCTCCGCATGGACCTTGTGATGCTTGTGAACACATGATTGGGAAGACGACGCCATTGTTGCTGCAAAATGGTGCCAAGATCTTGCAAATTCTGCGGTTGTTTCTGGAGAGTGCGCAGACTTCTGACAAGAGCATCCTAGACGTGCTCGATGGGATTGAGGTCGGGAGACCTTGACGGCCAGTCCATGACGTTGACTCCCGCATTCTGAAGGAAATTCCTTGTCAAAATTGCTGTGTGGGGTCTGGCATTGTCGTGTTGAAAGATCAAACCGGGTCCATGTGCTGCCATAAAAGGCAGAAGTTCTGGTGCCAGTACCTGGTCGCGGTAAGCAGCAGCGTTGAGGTTGCCACGGATGACAAGAAGCCTGGAACGTGCATTGCCACAGAAAGCACCCCACACCATGACACTTCCGCCTCGAAATCTGTTAACTTCCTTTACACAACACTGGGCGTAACGTTCATGACGGCGCCTCCACAGCCTCGCCCTACCATCAGCAAATCGAAGATTAAATCGGGATTCGTCACTGAAGACGACTTGATTCCAATTCCTCTGAGTCCATCGTAAGTGTCGCTGTGCCCACAATTGACGTTGATGTCTGTGTAATTGAGTCAGAATCGGCCCGCAGTATTGCCGTCGTGCTTGAAGGTGAGCAGCTCTCAGACGGTTTCGAACAGTTTGCGCACTCAGTCTACCCCTAAACAGTTCATTTCTGGTTGATGTAGCCGTCAAAAATCGGTTCCGGAGGTGACGTAAGACAATCTGACGATCCTCTGCATGTGACGTCACACGTGGTCGACCTGGCCGAGGGCGATCAGCGGTGGTACCCGTTTGCTGTAGACGCGTCTGTAAATCATAAAATGGCCGTAAAGACTTTTGTTTTCTTGTGTTTTTCTATTTTGGTTAATGACTGCTAACAAGTATGGCTGAAAACACGTGCGGTATAATGGCCACGTGACACACGTGTGTATGTGCATTCTTAAGTCTGCTAGGATTGTCGGGGGGGGGGGGGGGGGGGGGGGGCATTCCTATATCAGCCATTAATTGTGAACGTGACCAGGGTGAACCAGTTGTGACTTCCTCCCAGTTAATTAAAAGCTTTCAGGCTCTGTTACTGGTT